TATCTTCTAAGTTGCAAGTCTCATGGCATAGAGAGAGGGAGGAGCAGACATTTGTAGATCCTACGTAGATGCCTGCATCTGAAAAAAAAATCAGCTGCTCTTTAAAGCAGGAGCCATTGTCATTAATCATGAATGACTTAAATGTGTGGAGTTCATCCAAAAGCAAGTACTGGTTGCTATTGTCTAGGCATTGTGCTAGACCCAAAGGGTGTAATGATGTTCAAAAAGACACTGTTGGTTCATTTAATGGAGCTTTTGATCTAGTAGGGGAAGAGAGGGGGTGAATGAATAGCCCACCAGTTCTCGGGAATGAGTGGTGCTGATTGGCGTAGTGCAACAGTGGCCTTTGGCTCCTGAGATTGCTTGATCTGCTTGGCAACTATCCAAGCACACCATATAGGGCACAGCTGTAGACCTTAGAATTTTATTGCTGTCCAGAAGGCTGAGAAGACCAAGAGCAGGGTGCCTTTGCATCTCCCCTCCTCCAGGTGGCTCCACTGGCTTTCACTGGCTGTGCTGAAATCTTAGGGTATCAGGAGCCTTTGGGAGGTGAGTGAGTGAATGGGTCATGGGGTAGAGGGCTCAGAAGTTGGATGAATGTGTCATAAGAGAGACTTTGGGGTGTTCTCTCACTCCTTCCACTGTGGGAGGAGACAGCAAAAACAAACAAAAAGCCAAAAAAATATGTAAATAAAAACCAAAAACCAAAACACCAGCTCTCTGTAAACTAGTAAGTAGGCCCCTGTTGTATACCAAGAATGTGCTGGCCTTTCTGTGTAGTGTTTCCTGTCTTCTGAAACTTTGAGGAATAAAGTTAGACAGGAAAGCCAAACAGAGAATGATGGGAAAAAGAAGGGCAGGGTCAGGGGAGTTGCCAGGAGACACAGAGGGAGCGAGACATGCTGGAGGACAGGTAAAACCATGAGCTACTTAGCAATACATAGATTAATAGAAATGGGTTAGCTAAAGTTGTAAGAGCTAGTTAATAAAAAGACTGAACTATTGATTGAGCTTTTTTTGTTTGTCTTTTTTTTTTTTTCCAAGATAGGGTCCCTCTGTAGGTTTTGGAGTCTGTCCTGGAACTAGTGGCTAAGCATTTATAATTTATATTAACTCTCATGTAGTTATTTGAGATGTCTTCCAGGACACAGAAAATCTCCACCTACAAACCCTAATCCCAAATGCACAGTTTTAGGAGGTAATACCTTTAGGAGAGGATTATAGATCATGAGAACAGAGCCTTTACCACGGAATTAGTGCCCTTAGGAGAGACCCCTGGGAGCTGAGGGCAGAGATTAACCTGTAAGGCAATTGTGTTTGAGGCCCTAGGCAGAGAGATTAACCTGTAAAGCAATTGTGTTTGAGGCCCTAGGCAGAGAGATTAACCTGCAAGGCAACTGTGTTTGAGGTCCTAGGCTCTGTCCTTTTTTTTTTTTTAAAAAAAGAATTTATTTAATTATTATGTGCACAGGGTTCTGCCTGCATATATGCCTGCAGGCCAGAAGAGGATGCCAGATCTCATTACGGATGTTTGTGAGCCACCTTGTGGTTGCTGGGAATTGAACTGCTGAGCCATCTCTCCAGCCCTCCTGGGCTCCAGCCTCCATGCTCTTGCACATGCACATATGCTTGTGTGTGCACCACAGAGTGCCTGGAAAGCTCCACTGTCCCTGCACCATGTGACTGAGGCAGAGGATAACCACCTGTGCAGCAGGGAGCAAGGCCACACTCGATGCAGAATTTTCTGGAACTTCAGTCGAGGACTTCTAGACCTCTAAAATTGTTTTTTGTTTTGTTTGTTTGTTTTGGTTTGGTTTTAGTTTTTTGAGACAGGATTTCTCTGTGTAGCTTTGGAGCCTGTCCTGGAACTTGCTCTGTAGACCAGGCTGGCCTTAGACACCCAGAACTGTATGTGAGCAGTTAGGCTCACCTCTGAGTATGTATGGAGGTCAGAGGCCAACTTCAAGTATCTTCTTTTATTTTTCTTTTCTTTACTGCTTTGAGATTGTCTCACTGAATTTGTAGCCATTTGAGGTAGACTGACTGAGCACTGAGCCCCTGTCTTGCCCCCTCCACACACACCAGCACTGGGGTTACTGGCACATGCTGCAATGCCCTTACTCTATAGCTTGGGATGACCCAGAACTCACCATAGCCTAGGCTGGCCTTGAACTTCGGACAGTCCTCCTACCTCAGCCTCCCAAGTGTTGGGATTACCAGCATTAGCCACCATGCCCATCTTGGCAAATAAATAGTTGTGTAGTTTATTTGCCCAAACAAGGACAGGTAGAGAGGAGACCTGCACTTTGGGAAACATGTCCATGGCTGTTGTGTTAAGGAGGGGATGTTAAGGAGGCACAGTGGATACCAGGAGACCAATGAGAGGCTGGTCCAGAGACCCAGTTAGGCGGAGACTGAGAACATGGAGAGGAAAAGGGCCCAGGAGCTGATGATGGACAGGATGGTAGGGTAGCCGGTGACATGGACAAAGCAACTTCTGGGTTTTGTGTCTGCAGCTAGATGGGCGGGGCAGCCATTTGTAGAGACAGGAAACTATGAAGGGGACCCGAGTCCTGGTTTTAGACTCCAGTTGGTCTCTGGTGCCTCAGGTATTAAGTAGAGGACTCCTCGGGCTGATATGGACTTGCACTTCAGAAAGGAGTTGGAAACTCAACTAATTAGCTGGGGACAACGTGAATGTGGATGGAAATGAAGACATGGGGTAAGTGACTGCAGGAAAAGGATCTGGACCCCTTTGTTAGGCTGCTAGGTATGTCAGCAAAGTTGCTGGGTAGGCAGCCAGATGATAGAGAACCAGTGGCCTCAGCCTTGCAGGCCTCTGGGGGAATGACGTCAAGCAGACTCTATCCATTTGCCCATCGGGGGCCTTGGTCTGTGGGTAAAGAGCCTTACTCAGCCATACACTTTTGGAGATCTAAGTCTAGCCTGGCCTACAGAGCGAGTTCTAGGACAGGCTCCAAAGCTATACAGAGAAACCCTGTCTCAAAAAATCAAAAACCAAACCAAACCAAACAAACAGAAAACAAAAAACCCGTCCCCCCTAACAAAACAACCCCCCCCAACAATTTAGAGGTCTAAAAGTCCTAGACTGAAGTTCTGTGTCTGTGTCTGGTGTGGCCCTGCTTCCTGCTGCACAGATGACCGTCCTCTGCACAGTACACCAACCATGAAGTTTCAGAGCGGCCCTTTGGTCGATTTTCAGCTTCCTCAAGGACAGAGGCCTTTTCTGTCCCTATTTTGCCACCTGTGGCATGGACTTCATGTAAATGCTGGTTCCCTTCACAGCCGTCTGTGATCCTTTTCTGCTCATGTGTAAGGAGGAGAGAGACTGGCTATAACTTTTAAGATGGGGGGAGGTAGTGAAGATTCCACAATCTTCCTGTGCCCTCTTTTTAAGTCTCATTGGCCAGAACTGGTTTGTATATTAGTTTCTTAATCTCCTGTGTGATGGTGCTACTGTGGACCAAGATACCTATGGTGAAAATTACTTTACCTATGAAAAGATATGTTACATTTGTCTATGTTGCAGAATATTACTTTAACTGTGTAAAGGTGTGTTAATTTGTTTACGTTGCATTTGTTTAACAATGTAAGGATGTGTGTTTAATTATGTAGAGATGTGTTGCCTTTGTTTCACCTTGCCTGCCTAAGGCACCTGATTGGTCTAATAAAAAGCTGAACAGCCAAATAGCCAGGCAGGAGAAGGATAGAAGAGGCTGGCAGGCATAGAGAATAAGTAGAAGGAGAATCTAGGCAAGGAGAAGGAGGAGAGAATGAAGGAGAAAGAGAAGACTAGGGGGACCAGAAGCCAGGCAGCTGCCAGTCAGACATGGAGACAGCAAGAAACTAAGACATACAGAAAGAAAGGTAGGAAGCCCCACAGGAAAAGGTAGATAAAGAGAAACATTAAAATAAGAGCTAAGACCAAGCATTCAAATCTAGTACTATGTCTCCGTGTCATGATTTGGTGGCCCCAAAGAAAAATGGCTGCAAATATCCCTTTCACTGCTAATTGAGGAGGAAAGGGTGGGGTGGATCCTGGACCGCTGTGATGGGGATGGAGAAGCCTGAAGGGCACCAGCATCCATCCCCACCTCCCATAGAGTGTTGGCTCTAGTGTGGGACTGAGAAGTTGAAGCCTCTTCTCTTAGACCTCCTGACAGCAACAATGTTGCCCATAAATTAAATTTGGTCAGTGGAATGAGCTTGCCTGGGCTCTGGATGGCGGAAGTGTGCAGGGACCACTTTCTTATTTGACTCTTGTTGCTTTCAAGATGGCCTTGGAGGGCCTGATCTCTGTAGTGACATTACAGAACAGGCTACCAGCATATCAAAGATGGAGCTATCAACCAAGGCAGTGGTTGTTGCTTTCTGATCCCTGGACAGCATCTATGGTGCTGTTTTGCTTTTGACAAGTTCTTACTGTGCAGCCTCAGTTGGCCTGGAATTTACTATGCAGACTAGGCTAGACTGGGTTGAACTCGCAAGAGATTTGTCTTCTTTAGCTTCAGTCTCGGTTCTTGACCACCACCACCTAACTGTGGAAGAAGTAGCTGTCCTGGCAGACGTTCTGCGATGAAGTTCTGGGGTCCAGCTGAGGGCTCCATCTTTTCCTGTGGATCTTTTCAGCAGCTGACTCTTTAAATTAATTGCCTTCTGCTTCATAAAGATTTAACTAGAGTCTAAGCCCCTGATTTGGCATGGAGCTTGTTCTCAAACTGGGTAGACAACAGACCAGCACAGAGTGTAGTCACAGAGGCTGCAGGTAGGAGGATGAGGACTGTCACCGCGGCCTGTGCCCCTCAGACCCCATTGAGGACTGTGTGTTGGGGGTAGGTTGTCCCATAACTGTCACTGTTGGAACATTAGTACACTGTTCAACTCTCAACCGCCCCTCCCAAGGTGTGTGGAGGGAAAACCTATAGGCACTAGGGGAAGAGTCTAAATGCGGGTCCCCGTCAAAGGTCTGGAGGCACTGGTGAGTGGCCAAAGTCCCTTTAATATCCCTGAATTGCGTTACAAGTAATACTGCTGGAGATGGGGAAGGAGTAGGAGTGGGGATGAGTGAAGGGTACAGCAAGGGAGGGGCCAAAGGCTTAGCATGCATGGGAAATTATTGCTGTCAGAAGTTTCTATTTACAGGGTCAGCACCCTCCATAATTGCTTCTGGTGACCCCTCTCTCTCCCACCATCTCTGCAGCCTCCCTTCCAGGAGCCTGGGGCTGAATGAAGCTCCATCCCTCGGAAGCCCCAGAGAGGGACCTAGAGCGGTCTGCAGTCTCCTCCCTCTTTTGTGGCTAGGGGGATGGGGAGGAGGTCTGAGTGTCCAGGACTCTTGTCCCCAAAGAGGACACAGAGGGATGCGGGTAGAGGCGTGTGCTTAAAGCAGAGGGGGCCGGGCCGGTGCGCGCGGAGGTGTGTGCTTCGGTCCTCGCCCGGGCATGCAAAAGCGCGGTGGAGGAGGTAGTGGTGGCCAATAGGCGCCTGGCTGGCAGTCCCGGCCCCTCTGCCCGGGAGAGTTGCATAGTCGTGGCCGGGAGAGAGCACTCCTCCCGGGAGCAGGCCAGAGGCCCCAGCGGGGTCCGGGGCTCAGTCGGTCCCTGGAACCTGGGGTCCCTCTGAAAGAGGAATAAATAAGAAACAAAGGAGGAGGGTCCAGAAGGGCTTCCTGGGACCGGAATGGAAGGCTCAGGAGGCCGGGAACCTGCCCCGAAATAGGACCTTCTGATGGCCCCTCCTCTGCCAGCTGAGGATCAGCAGGCTCCGCGCCCCCCCTCCCCATTTCTCCAGGCCTCGTCCTAAGGAGTTCAGGCCTCTGAAAAGGGTGGTCTTCTCCCCAGACCCATAGGGAGCTATGGCCTTGCTGACCCTGCTCCTCGACTTCCCAGTCCAGCTGGGAAAGCCAGACAGTCCCTGGGTGAAGCCAAGAGATTAAATAGAATAATAAATAGATAAATAAATAAATACACAAATAAATAGCTGAAGGGGCCCTGCCAGATGAGGGGTAGGGTCCATGGGTGAGGTGCAGAGGTGAACCTGTGGTCCTGGGGTGAGGGAAAGTGCTCAGATAATCCGGGAAAGGCACAGCTCTCTGCCTGAGGCCTAGGCAGGAACTGTCCTGGGGTAAGAAGGGTCACCTGAGAGGGCAAAGCCCTGGGCTGCCTCCCAAGTCTGTTCCCAGCTAGGAAAACTGAGGAATGGAGATCTACTAGAGGGAAGCTGGAGATAGCAGGGAGTAGAATGGCTGATGAGATCCAGGAAGACTAAGGAGGGTGGAAGTGTCAGGTAGGACTGTGTGAGTGGCTGGACCTAAGGCCTAAGCATCGAGGGGATCAGGGGTGGACAGGCAGGGGACTTCAGGAGGGGTGAAGATTAGATTCTCGGATGGACACACGCATGCACACGCGCGCGCGCACACACACACACACACACACACACACACACACACACACACACACTCAGCAGAGAGACCCAAAAGATCGGACAGTGTGGACAGGGAAACTGAGGCAGACAGGAAGTCAAGGGTACATTCGGGTTTAGAATGAGGGCTCCAATAGAGGAATGGCCAATGACTCAGCTGAGAAATGAGAAGAAAGATCTAGTAAGGAGCACAGCTTAGAGTCGGGGCCGGAGAAACTTCCAGCGCCGGGACCCGAAGAGGTACGGACCTGGTGCCTGAGTTGGAAGCCTTGAAGGCCAGACTTGGGGTCAAGGTCCGAGTGGTGGCCAGAATGGACAATGTGGGTGGGCGCAAAGGGGGATATGGTGCAGGAAGTGAGAGGTGGGCTTGGTGGGGGTTGAAAAGAAAATCCTGGGTCAAAATGGGGTTCACCCTCACCCCGCCAAGGGTGCAGGCAGGGGAGACGCTAGACTGAGGGGTGAGAAAAGCCTCTGCGGGCACCCGGCGTAGCGGAGGCTCAGCTGGCCGGGCCGGCGGGGGGCGGCGGCTCCGCAGCCTTGACGCATGCGGCCTCGCAGTGCTTGTGGAGGTAGGACTTGAGAGCGAAGCTCTTGTCGCACTGGCGGCAGCGGTAATGCTTGAAGGCCGAGTGCGTCTGCATGTGCGCGCGCAGGTTGGAGCGGTCGGCGAAGGCCTTGCCGCAGTGCGCACAGCCGAAGGGCTTCTCGCCGGTGTGCGAGCGCATGTGGCCCTGGAGCAGCCAGGGCCGGGAGAAGGCCTTGCCGCACACGCCGCACTTGTGGCGCAGGTTGTGCGTGAGCACATGCATGGCGAGCGCGGGCATGGACACGTAGGCCTTGCCGCACGTCGGGCACTTGCGCGCCAGCTGGCTGTCCAGGCTGCGGTGCGTCTGCTTGTGGCGGCTCAGGTTCGACGACGTGGCGTACGTCTTGCCGCACTCTGCGCATGCGTGCCGATGCCCGCCGCCCGCTGT